TTTGTTATTTAGATGCTTTAACACTTGGCTTCTGGCTCGTTTTTTAAAATCCTGGCACAGTCTTTTCTGTGCAGGAGAGAATTCTGATTGCATTTGTAAAAAAAACAAAAAATAAACCCAAAAAAAATCTCTTTATACTAATCATTAATTCCAATGTCCCGGCCTCCTGTGGGCAAAGGCAGATGGAGAAAGCAAACCCTGCTGAAGCAAAGTGACTGGCAGGGGACAGAAAACAGAGGCAAAGGGGGATTCAGAAGACATTTTAGAACTTAAAGATTTTGTAAACCTCTTTGTCTCACTTTATATCATAGAAATTACAGAAAAATACTGAGTTTTCATGTCTTCAGTAGGCAGAAAAGGGTATCTTGAGGTGAGTGTAAGGAATACCTCAGAGGTTTAAGGTCAGTAGACACAAAGCAACTCAGAAAAGCAGAGAACACTGATAATTAAAGGTAAAAAAATTAATACTTGCTTATATTTTATATTTTTCAGTATCTATTGAACTACCCTGAAGGACTCAGAAATGTGGCACTACAGGCCCAGACCCTGAATATGTAATAACAGAGCTGCTGTCGCGGCAGAGCACAAAACAAAGAGCCAGAATTAGCAGAGCTGGGTGCATCCCATTTGGCCTCCTGGAAAACATCTGCCATTTGTCAGGACTACAAAGCCTCTCCCCCTTGATCTCCAGCAATTAGGGAAATTCTGTTGTGCTAATTACCTGGGGAGACAACACAGGGAGAAGGCAGATAGCGAGTGACACTTGAAGGCAACATTTACACCAGTAAAAACCAGGCAGATATTTCAAGTTACTGGAAATCACAAAAAGTGCCACAACCTGCCTACCAGGACAAGCTGGAGAACACTGATCCCTGGGTATAAATTTAGGGTAAATATTTTAAAAGTAATAATAAAAAAAATTAAATTCTATAAATAATCTAAGCAAGACAGCTTCTGGAGCTGCTGAGTCTGCAGAGGTAGAGAGGGTTTGCCATGCTCAGCTTCCCCCAGTACACATGGTTTGAATTGCTGAGAAATGGAGCAATCCGCCGTCCTGCCGGCTGCAGCACCACTGCACTCCTGCTGCTGCCAAGCCATTATTGGGAAATATTTGTCACATATTAGCTGGAACATCAGATTACTACACTGAACATTTAACGCTGTTTTGTAATATATCCATACGTTCAAAAGCATATGACACCATCTCAGCATGAATTCAAGATGAAAACAGGGATATGCATCATCCAGCGGCCAGGAAATTTGGAGTTAAGGCTCCAGAGGTACTGTTAAATAAAAAAGGCACAAGGAAACACAATGCATACGTAGAAATACGCAGTGCAAGAGCAGCCAACGGAGCTGGAGCTTTTCACACCCTCAGTCCACAATTCAGCAAGGACCAGCTGCTGGGCAAGGCATGCTCTGTGGACTGGGGCTGGTTTAAGCCTTTTTTTACTGGATTTAAGGAAACATTTGCTCTCAGGCTCTAGTGAGGTACATCCAGCACCTTGAACCTCAAGGGACCTGTTCTCACAGAGCTTGAAGACTTTGGGCACAGCAAATACCACCTTTAACAAGAGCCTTTTGCACCTGAGGCTTTAAAAGACTGTTAAAATTACAAAGTGGGAAAAATAAAAAATAATCCTCAAAAAAACATATATACGAGAAGGCTGCCAGATCCCACACGACTGATAAACAAATTGTTTACCAGTGTGTAGTTTTAGTCTTGCCTCCCAGCCACCTCCCAGTGCTCATCAGCTGAAGGCTGTCCCAAATGCCAGCGTCCCCGCACCTGCTGCGCTTCATCCTGCAGCAAAGGCTTTGTGAGGATCCCACCAGAGAAAGGCTGAACACAAGGGGACGAGGGGCCTCTCTGCAAAATATTACAAGCCTGGGAATGACAATAGCACAAGTATTAAGCTGCTGTTTCCCTGTGAGACAACATATGGGGACAGCCTGTCCTGGCACCCGCAGCGTCCAACCGCTGCCACCCCGTCCCAAATAGCTGAGGGGACTCGAAGGCCATGTTCGTCCCCAGAGTGGGGTCACCAGGCTGTCACAGCGTCACCGAGCCTGACCCACACTCAGTCCAGCTGCCTCAACTCCCCAAGGATGCTCTCCTCTCCCTCAGCCACAAAAATGCCCGAACCACAAAGGACTCAAAGTGACACAAAGTTGTTGTCATCCTCCCCCGCATCGCCTTGGTTGAATGAATAAAGCAAAACTCAAAGCAGCGCACAGATGCTCAGAGCAACTGCAGAAGCAACTTTTTGAAGCATGCTCAGCATTAGAGACAGAAATGTTATTTTCCAAGCTTTTAAAAATATATTCTTTTAATTATCTTTTTTTTTTCAAATTGTTATTACTTCCAAGGTCAGGTTGCATAGGGCTCCGAGAAACCTGACCTAGCTGGAGATGTCCCTGATTGCTGCAGGGCAGTTGGACTAGATGATTTGAGAAGAATCCTTCTTTGATTTCTTCTGCCGATCGCGATCTCTCCGTGGCCCTGCCGAAACCGCCGGGCCCCCTCTGCCGGCCGCCGGCCCCTCGGAGCCGCAAAAAACCCGAGGGTCCCACTCTAGAAACCAACCCAGCTGTGCCCTGCTGCCAAATAGGTGACTTCCTACGGACCACAAAGCACAAAATGGGTCAGTTTGGGGGTTTTTCTGGGAGGGAAGGGTGTTTGTCTTTCGTGTGTGTTTTACAAGTAGTGATATATGATTTCTCTGTAGTCGGAATAACTTGACCCTCATTTAACTTTTAAGTGGATCGTTGTCATCTTTTTCAAAACTGCTTTGGATATGCAGCAAGTCAATTGTATCAAAACAGCGCCCTGAAAACAACCCCCACCCCCTCAAATCCAAACAAACCCCAAATTGACTAGTTAGAAAACCCCAAACTCACTTCTAGGAAAAATGGGGACTTGTTTAAAAGGAGCCCAGCTGGCAAGGCCAGCTCTGAGCACGTTTGCTCCTGCACTGCCCAGGGGTGGGTCTGCGGTGCAGCCTTTCCCGAGTTTCCAGAGAGGCACCAAGGGAGGGCCCACGCCTGCATGGCAGCACAGACACAATCCTCATCCCCGGCTCTCCCTCCCCAGCTTCCTTTAAATCCAGTCGTAATAAGGAATCCTTAAGCTCGGCAGCGTTATCGGCAGAGGAAAGCTCCCCAGCCCTGATGCTCAGGATACCCACCAGCTGCCCATGGGAAGCAGGAGTGGGGCTGGCAGCATCTCCCCATCCCCTCCACAAGGAAATTTTCCTTTCTCCAGGGGCTGCTTTTCCAGTGCAAATTGAAGCTTAGCTGTTGGTTTGCAACCTGGCATAGCTCAGCAGTGAATGCCAGTGAGGGCCACAAGCTCTCAGATGTTTCCAGACCAAGCTCTTTAACTACAGATCAGAAGGCAATTCAGCCTTTTTCAGGAGAAAGAGGAAAAAAATGAAACACAGCTAAAGATGTCTTTGATTTGCACAAAAACAGCCAAAAGGCTTCAGGACAGTCCAGCAGCACATCCTTACCTGAGCTCCCCGCAGTGGTGGCCAGGAGCAGCCACCGATGGGACATTTCCTACCCACCAGGAAATCACTTCTCCTTCCCTCTGCACACAAATTTCTTTGACGTTTGTTACTAATGACTGTAACGAGCATTTCAGCAGCACGTGGGAAAACCTTCTCCTTCCTCTCTTCCCCCATCTCCCAAACACAGCAACCAGCAACCCAGTGACCCAGAACAGAGTTGGGACTTTCCTGGACAAAAGAAGCCTCTTCAATCCCAATTGCTTTCTGTAGAGCAAAGGAAAAGCCTCTTGACCACTTAAGCACACCAGTAGCGCACCCTGTTTGCCCAGACCAGAGAAAGGCACAGCCCCAGAGTCCCATAAGGTTGGTGGACTTGATGGGTCTGTGCATCATAAGAGGGAAATCTGATTTGACCACCTTGAAAAGAGCTGAAAATAAGCAGGATTTGTTTCTCAGTTGATGGGCTTTGTTACCAGGCAGTGAGGCACACAGGGAGCTTTCCACCAGAAAAGCAGTACGTTTGAGAGCATCATTAGTAAAATGTTTCTGAGATTAAACATAATCTTATGGAGGAAGAAAGCTTTTTTTTTTTTTTTTTCTTTTGTGTGTGCTGTGAATATGGACTAACACTGTGTTTTGGTACAATTCGTATCCAGGGTGGCAGGAAAAATTGACCCTGCCCCTTTCCCTAGTCTGCCATCCTCATGTAGCATTTACTGTTTGTGTATTTTCTTTAAAACTAGAGTGGAACTCTCTGCTGCTTGGAAGTCCTTCTAACACGCCTGTGAATTCTCCCCCATCAAAGTGCTGCACATCTTTCACCCATCTTTTGCTATTTTTGTGAAAAGAAAAAAAGAATAGAAAAGCTCCAAGGTGCCCTAAGCTCAAAGGCACTCTCAGCCTTCAGTGTGACAGCAGAGCACTTCATAGAACATTTCTATAAAGGAGGTTCCTTTACAAACTAATCTAAGCTGTTTATTGTTTCCAAGGAGCATGCACTTCCACGGCAGAACAGGAAGTTTTGACAGTTTTAGAAGTTCATTAAACTCTGGGAGGAAATTTAAACAATCGGTGACAGCTTTCCTACAGCAAAAGAAGTCGCTGCCCTCTGAAAAGGCAGAGAGGCTGCAGCTTTTAATTATCACACTTGCATTAAGCCCCAGTGATTTTGTTACTACTTCTAAATTGTTTTGGCCCAACACCCAGCGCTCAACAACCCAGTCAAGTTCTTCACTCTTCTATTCTTACAGCCAAACGTCGCTTTTGTCCAAACCTCAAACTCCTTGATCTGTTAACAGGCCAAAGCAAGGCACTGGGAGATGTTAACAGTCTCAAGCACAAGAGTGCTTCAGCTCGGGAAAAACACTTCTTACCACGTTTTCCTCCCTGGAAAGGAGCATATAAACCAGGAGAGGGGGAGCTCAGTGGGTGCAGTGGGCAGGCAGGTGGCCCTGGGTGGTGTGGCTGTGCTGGAACCTCGGTACCTACCTGGGGGGCACACGCAGTCTGACGGGGCCTCTCGCGCCGCCCGCAGCTTCGCAAGTCCTTCGCCAAGTTTCTGTTTGGAGGGGGAATGAAAACAGCCTTTAGAGAGTGCATTATACCTAAACACGGACTGTGCACGCATGCCGACATCCAAACCATCCAGCTGCCTTCCAGGGAGGGGTAATGGTTTCATCCTGTGGCGTTCAGCCTCCTTAGGTAATACCCAATGCTATGGTAGTACATAAATATTAAACGTTTCGGAGCAGGGGCAGCCTACAGCCCTCACGTGGAGCAGGCACACTCCTCCTGCACGTCCCAAAGTCCCTTGTGCTAAGCTCCATTGGCAGGATTCATCCTGAGCTCCTTTACAAGTCCCATGTCCAGGCATGACCTGATTTGACTGATTTTGTACTTAAAATTCATGCTCTGTGGAGTATTAGAAGTTCCTTTAGCAGGGGGATGAGGTGGAGGACAGTCAAGACTGGAGTGCTCACCCACTCTCAGGCCTACCCAAAGCCAGTGTTTCCATCCCCAAAGTCAAAAACTCATCAATGGGACAACTAGAACACATGAAGATTCACAAAACTAGAGCAGTGTCTACGTGGCATATTGCAGGCAGATGTGTGCACACTCTGCCTAAGCCAACGAGACTGTTCGTGCCTGCATTTAGCCCACCACCAAGCCCAAGTTAATGAGCCTGATGACAGGTACATTATATTAGATCAGGCACACTCCCTGCCTGGGACAGCCCAGCAAGGGTGGGAACAGCTCATCTTCACCCACAATCTTCACTCTCCAGGTCCTCCAGGAATGCCCTGTCCTACCTAAAGTACTTGCCAAAAGACAAACCAATGATCTGATAACTGGAGTCCCTACATTTCAAAGAGAAAAAACTCAAAGTACTTATTCAGTTTAGTGAATAGCTCAGGGTGTTAAGACTTGACATTGTACAACTGACGACCCAGTCCCTTTTCAAATATTTGAACACTTTGGACTATTCAGGAATTAGGCTGCCTGTGAATTAGGTTATTTTCTTTCTGTTCTGAGGATTAAATAGTTTTATCTGTTGTTGAAATCCTATGCTTCCTCTATCTGCTTGGCTGCGATGCTAAGAGGTCTTGAAAGTATCAAAATGGTTTCATATCACCTGTCAGAGAAGTTGTCTTAAAGGGAAGTATAAATACCAGAACAATCCAGCTGCCTTCTGCAAAACATACACTTTCCTTGAGAAAATGTGGCAAAAAAAACACCTAAGGAGATTTTTCTAACATCCACCTGAAGTCTAAAGGTTACAGAGTTGATCAAGTTTTATCTGTTTACTTATATATTACTCTTAAAGTAATTTGGATGATGAAGATGCTCGGGGAAATGTAAATAAGCTCTCCCATATTTTTAGTTCAGCAGGCATCACTGGGAACAGCAGAGGAGATCTGAATCCTGGAGCAAATCCTCTGTTCTCCCATTGAATTGTTCTTGTCGTGAAACTGATTAATCTGGACACTGCAGACAATAAATCCTTTGTGAACAAAACGGTCCAGCTTTGTTTACAACAACTGGATGTTACTATAGTCCTCCCGTTAATATTTTCCCTCCAGTGTGAAAACTACACACTTGGAGCTGGGGTTTTTGACACAGAGCAAGTGGAGATGCTGCCACGTCTGGACCGTGCTGTTGGCAGTGTTTCAGAGGGCATGAAGGCAGGAGCCTGCAGCGTGTCCCACTAACGGGACGAGCCAAGGGAAGGGCAAGGTCCTGCCACAGTCAAATCAGCAATTTCTCCTGAGCTACACGGATGCCTGTCACAGAGCCAGAAACTAAATCCTAGCTGTCCAAATTGGCTTTCATTACCCTAACTACACACTTATCCTTCCTTTATTATTTCCTATCCTCTTTAACTTGCCAAACATTTAAACAGCGCTAAAAGGAACAGAGCCAGTGTGTTGGTGTTGTATTTGCTGCTCTCTGTGCACAGCTCTGCCGTAAATTATGCCAGCAAAGCCCTTGATTGGTACATGGAGTAAAGCTTTTTGGGTCGTGGCAGAGAACAAAGGATGCTGGGTCATGCACAGAGAGCATATGGAGCTTTGGTTTCACTTCTGAAATACTGTGGTAAACTTCAAAAGAGGATGAACTCAGAATTTAACAAAAAAACTGACCCCAGGCATCAGTTGATATTCATGATGATGGAAATAGTCTCTGGCTCTCCAGAAACTCTCAAGCACAGAAAGGGCAGGAGCTGCTTGACAAGCGAGCGGTCTTATGTAACAGTTTGGGCAAGAAACACTTTCTGAAACTTTACCATAAATTAAGAGGTTCATTTAAAATGACCATTAATAGATAGTGCAATTACTACTATGAATTCCTCGAATTTGTTCCCCGATTCAGAATTTTCTTTAGTATTGACAAAAGTTTGGTCATACTAAATGTTTCAACAAGCTCACTCTTCCATTAGAAACCCAATTATGTGGTTTTGCTTTATTTTCCCCTGTACAAGCTCCATCTGAGCATTCCCAGTACAAAACAAGCTTTCCACACTTAACTAAATCTCAGCAAGAGGTTGCACATGATCTTAGGAAGTGCCACAGAAACCATTCCCATTGCTAAGCACATTTATTGGAGTAATTGGAACAGAACCACTGCCACAACTGGCAGGCTAATTCCTGCCTGGAGAAAAGACGTTAACTAGAGGCTGTGATTACGCCTCACAGGCACCCCCCCTGGTCTGGTATTCAGGGTTTTCACAAAAATATTTTAACATTTCACTTTTATCGAGGCACATCAATGCAACCAAGTTTCCAGGCAAAAGGACATGCCGTGGTGGTGCCAGCAATACCCTCACCCTAGCTCCAACAGCAACACACGGCACGAGGAATTGTCTCTCCATGCCCCCAGCACTGCCTCCATCCCTGCTCACAGCCCCAGAGCTTTCACAGAGCTCCACACAGAAATACATTTTTGCATGATTTAGGCTTCGTGGTTGTCATGATTTTAATGCATGTTTTGCATCCCAGTCAGGCCATTAATAAAATCCCAGTGTAAAACCTTCCCCAGATGTCAGAACTGATCACTCAGGGGTGCCCTTCAGCAGCCCCACAAGCCGTGTTGAATCATGCTGAACTTTATGAACTACTGTTTATACAAATCCAGCAAACCAACTGTGGGATCTTCAAGTATTTCCTATGAGTGATGGAGCCCTTCACGTCCCCCTTGCCTGTAAAAAGCCCCAAACCTAAACACCAGAATCAGGAAAAAGATAACCCTGGGATAAAGTGTAACTTCTCCAAAAGATTTGGTTTAGTTAGGCACCGAGAAGGGCATCAGTGTGGATAATAGTTCTCCAAGTAGGGGAAATTGTTCAGCACAGAAATATTTATTGAATAATTTCAGAAAACCCCAGGACTGAAAGTGAAGTAACTAGTGGCGGTATCCTCTGCCTGCCATAAATCAGTTCTGCACTGCCAGACCACAATACTCTGTGACAGACAGTCCAGATAGCGGGGATCACGTTCATAATTTCTAACAAGGAAATTATGGTCCATTAAATCCCAAGATACATAGTTAAAGTACTCGGGTTACCTATGTCAGTGAATAGAATAGGGGGGAAAGTCGCATGTCCTCTAACCTTCGACTACCGGCCCTTCACCTGGGGCGCTTTCTCTTCTAAAAAAGGTGGGCTCTGCCACGCCTCGCCCTACGCCTGATTCATGGAAACGGCAACAAAAAGAGTAAAGTTTGGTAAAAGGGAAGAAGTTTTTCAGAGAGGAGGAGAAGCGGGTGAAACACGGAGTGAACCCCACGGCGGAGCGGGGCCGGAGCGCCTTCCCCGATCGTGCGCGCCCGCCCGCGCCGCCTCTCACTCACCTCGCGGAAAAGTTGCTCCACGCGGGGCTGCAGCGCGTCCAGCAGCGGCCCGTGGCCGGCGGCGCCCCGCTCCTCCAGCGCGGCCAGCCGGCCCTGCAGCTCCGCCGTCTTGGCGCCCAGCAGCAGGCACACGGCCACGGCGGTGAGCGAGAGCAGCAGGCACAGCGCGGAGGTGGCGGTGCCCGCCGCGCCGGCGGCTCCGCTGCCGCTGCCCGCGCTCATCGCGCCGCGCTCCGCGCCGCTGCGCGGGGTCCCGCTCGGCTGCCGCCCGCCTCCCGCCGCCGGCGCATCCAGCGCCGCCCCGTGCGCGCCGCGGGCGTGGGGCCGGAGCTGCGGAGCGGCCGCTCTCCTGCGCTCGCCCCGCCAGCCCGGGTCTTAAACGGAGGAAGAGGGGGGTGGCGGCTCCCCCGCCGCCTCCCCCCGCGCTGGGGAAGGGGGGATGCTCCGAGCGCGGTCCGCCGCCCCCCATGGGGCATTACGCGGAGCAGATCCCACCCCCGCTGCCCGGCCCTCCGCGGGGACCGCTCCCCACGGCCCCGTCCCCGCCCGCCCGCGGCCCTCGGTGTCCCGCCCGTGCTGCACGATATCCACTCCGGAGCGCAGGGTGCCGGCCGGGCGGCCCCGCTCCGGTCGCCGCTCCGGTGCCGGTAGCTGCGCTGCCCGCGGCGGGGGCGGCGGCGGGCGCGGGCCGGGCGC